ATATTCTATCTCTTTGATGGATGAGAGAAAGACAACTTTCCAACGCACTGTCTGATTACCGGTAGTCTACGCTGCCGTTTTTGACCTAAGTAAGTTATGACACATTTGTGAAGATATACGGTATCTTAATGCCGGTAATAATTAAGTCCATGTATTTTATACAAATAATTGTCTAACCACGTACCGGTACACGACATGAACTGGTACCCTAAACCGGACGACACGCCGAGGTTTGTCATGTCATCAAGCCGTCTTCAATCCTAATAGTTGCCTGAGACTGTAACGTCAACTCGTCATACAGGTACCATGAAAATGCTGCAGTGTTGCTAATTTTATACTCTTGCCATTCTTCCGGGAGGATAATAATCAACAGGAAACCAGAAAGTGAATCTAATATCTTTGCAGGGCGGAATTGAAACCTATGGGCGGGGGGGGATGATCACGAAAATCGCAATAAAATTATGGCCTGACGCCATAACTTGGTACACATACTATGGGAATACTCTATGCAAAGCCACAAGCGAGAAATATTTTTTTTAAAACGGCACTGTTTTGAGAAAATTGATCGAACCACATGACAAGAAAGATCGGGCTTGTATTATCAAGTGTTAGGTAATCATATTTCTAAAGCATGATTATTCTTCTTGCAAAATATTTCTGCTCCCTGGAATTTTTGATGAGACACAATAGTCCGGTAGTTAAATGGTGGAGATTAGTTACATTTTCTTAGCCTACCGTAATATTTTGATATTTAAAAAGATTAATCAAATTTTACCAATGTAAATATAATATATACTCAAATATACGCCTGTCTGAACTCTATTTTGTTTGAAAAGTATCTTTTCGGCAGTTCTGTATATTTTTGGAATAGTTCAGCTCGTTTCCTTATGGCATCATTGGTGCCAGAGACTATTCGCACAAAGCTACATAGGAAAGCTTTGTAAGATTCCATTGAAATTATGTAAACCTTTAGAATCTGTTTAGAACTTTAGATTGTAATCACATCCCCTCATGTTTGTATATTGTTACGTCGAAGATACTTGGACGCCTTTATCCACTTAATTAACATACAATCGTCCATTATTACGTCACAATTAATTTTTTTGTTTGTTTATTTATACATTATATCTTATCATCATCCTTTTAGATTAGAGTTGACGCCATGATAATTTTTTCCTGTTTTCTTTTTCTTGCTCTATATATATCCACTTGTGTTCTTTCTATATCATGCCCTGATGAAGTTTTTCTGTATAGAAATTCGAAACGTCGGCAAATTACATCGTTTTGCTAACACCGGTTGTGCTTCATTTATTATCAACATGATGTTTACAATGTTACGCTCCACCGGTTGCTTTAGTTAAACCAACTCCGTCGCATGAATATAAGAAAACCAAACTGAGGAATAGATCGTCGCACAATAACAGCTTGAGTTGATTGCACCCATGTAATTTGCTTACGGGCGTAACGGTCAGAAATAATTTACCCATAGCTATATAATATATATACTTACATGGGTAATCGTCTGGAGTACCCGAGTTCGAATGCTATTCTTTCTTTTTTGCAAACTCTCGACCATTCATTAATCCCAATCCAATGACGTATTTTATGACCAATGACCTGTTATGCAACATACAGCCCAGTCTTGTGTGATCCTCCAGATCCTGATCTAATTTGTGCTCATGACGGCCTAATTTTATTCCATGGATGTTTGTATTTCGAAGCACAGATCTTGCAACGGGCTCAACAACGATAGCGTAGAACAACATACTCTGGGGACATCCCTGTTTTATGCCGCTGCAGATGGTAATTTCTGTCGTCAGCCGACCATTAACGTCAATGCGACTTTTTATATTCGAGTACATACTTTGGATGATGTTAAGAGTCTAGCGACCAAGTCTGATGTGTTGCAAGACATTGAATAGGAATTGGTGGTCAACCTTATCGAAGGCTTTCAGGTTGTCAATTAATATTATTGTTCCGGGGGTGTTCTTTATTTTGCAGTGCCGAATTATTGCATCTATATTATAGTGAATGTCATACATGCTTCTGTTAGGAAGAGAGCATTTTTGGGTCGGAGTGATTATGCGGTCCATAATGCTGTTGACCAACAGTTTAAATATGGAAAGACCGTTAGCAAATTGCAGTTGAAATTCAAAACATAAGACTTACCGCAATACTGTCAGTAGTACTATTCTCAGTATTTCTCTTGACAAAATTCCACCATGGGCATTTTGACATACATAGAATATAATTATTGGACGACGATGCATCATTATCATCATCATGCTGAATGTTCTGTAAAAAAAAAATAACGTTAGCGTTTAAATCGCAAATGTTATCTTTGTTTTTAAATCTAAATTTGTCATACCTGAGGTTTTTTCATAAGCTCCATATTGGTATTCATTTTGTATAAATCTAATTTTTTTTATTATTCACTTTTTTAGGCACTGCAAAAAAGGGTAAAATGGGTTAGCCTGATTAAAAATGTTACACACGCAAAGCAAAACACAGAAAAAGTTTTGTAAGTGTAAGAAAGTGTGTGAAATAGAAGAAAAAAAAAACTGAAAATATAGATAATAAAAAAAATACAGTAATAAATGAAGATCTAGGAATAAGGAACACAACACAGCAAAACAAATCATACAGGAACACAACACATCAAAACAAATCATATAAAAAAAAAAAAAATTGTACCCAAAGTGTGAAACTGAAAGGTGAAATCAATTTTAAAACCAAAGCTTGACACATGTAGATAAAAACATAAAAATATATTGCATCTAACAACTGAACAACATGCAAAATTTTTTGGAATTTGGAATAGCCTATTCAGTTTCCATTTCATCATTCTGGTCCTCATTGTGTTGTTTTATATTTCTGCATTCACATTCTGCTAAAACACTTGATAGATTGTTATTGTTCATTGCAGGTTTTGAAGTTTTTAGCGATGCGTTATAAATGTCTTTGACTGTCGGATTCATGTTTTTCGGAGTCCTGAATCCGGTTTGAGCGAATAATAAATTGTTACCGGTAGACACATATTTGGGCACTTCGAAATATTAAGAAAATGGTGATAGAGCGCGTGCGCCTCCCTATAGTACTACGTTTTAAATATTATCATTGAGTTTACTTGTTGCAATTTGCATGTTTGATATTTAATTTTATTATTTCAAACTTGTCTTGCAAAGACTTTGTTAAAAAATCTTACTCTTTTATATGTTTTGCTTATAACTTCCGAACTACCGGACCAATTTAAAAAAACTCAACTATCTCAAAAGAACCCGAAAATTTGACATTGCGACATTTAAAAACCGAAAAATCGACATTTCGACGATTCATGCCCGATTTTTTGACAGTGCGACCATTTGAAAGCCCAAAAATCGACATTGCGACATGCTTAGACTGAATTTTCGACAGTGCGACTAGCTGAAATATGGGTTGCGCGTAAAAAATCGGGACTAATTTGGAAACATTCGAAGAATAATATTTCATTAACTATGCATCAGGGAATAGTGAAAATTAATCAGTAAACGTTATGGTATGATACTTATCATATGTTAAAGCAACTTTTATGTAGCATTTGACCTTTGACCCCAAATTGCAAAAAAAAATTCTTAGTTTATTCGAAAGATATGGGTGTAAATAACCCGAAACCCTTTTTACTTTTAAATTTCATCAAATATTCGAAAAGTTATTGAGGTTCGAATTTTTGAACGAATAATTTTGTTTTGCTTATAACTTTTGAACTACTGAACCAATTTCAAAAACTCAACTATTTCCGCGCTGGTATTAATGAGACCTTTAATTTGATGCCAGTTGCGCCAAGTTTAACGAAATCTAAAGTTAGCATTTTGCATAATCTACTTGCAAGTCAGGTAATGTAATTTACTTCGCATAAGTGAATATATTTGACTTTCGGAAAAGGACTTTTGTTTTCTTTACCCCAATCTTAAAAATTTTGATATCTACTAAAAGAGGGGCTTTTTACGAACCCATAGACCGCAATTTGATCACAGATGGAGTCCTTTTTCAAAAGTTATGGCCTTTTTAAGACAGAGTTTATTGCGATAGCGTTAGGGTTTGAGGTTTTCTACTAATAACTTTATTTTAGCAAATGCAAAAACAGCAATATTTGAATCATATATTGGCATCAAAATTCTGCATTCATTGGCATATTACACATGTCGATATCTTAAGTTGTTTAAAAGTTATACGCAAAAATGTGAAATTTTTAGACAAGAAAAATCGACAGTGCTACCGAAAAAGGAGCCGAAAAATCGACATTGCGACAAACTATCTAATTATCATAACAACCCCAATCCTTTTTTGTCGCACTGTCGAAAATTCAACAACTAAAAATCGACATTGCGACAAACTATCAAATTTGCATTGTCGCAATGTCGATAATTCCGAAGTCGCAATGTCGAAATTTCAACCAGGTAAGTTTTCGACGATTCATCCCCGAATTTTCGAGAGTGCGACCATTTGAAAGCCCAAAAATCGACATTGCGATATGCTTGGACGGAATTTTCGACAGTGCGACTTGCTGAAATATGGGTTGCGCGTAAAAAATCGGGACTAATTTTGAAACATTCGAAGAATGAAATCTCAATAACTATGAATCAGGAAAATGTGAAATTTAATCAGTCAACGCTATGGTATGATACTTACCATATGTGAAAGCAACTTGTCGATATCTTAAGTTGTTCAAAAGTTATACGAAAATTTGTGAAATTTTTAGACAAGAAAAATCGACATTGCTACCGAAAAAGAAGCCGAAAAATCGACATTGCGACAAACTATCTAATTTGTATAACAACCCTAATCCTTTTTTGTCGCACTGTCGAAAATTCAACAACTAAAAATCGACATTGCGACAAACTATCTAATTAGGGGTCGGGGTCGACATTGCGACAAACTATCTAATTAGGGGTCGGGTTCGGGTTGGGTTTGTGGTTAGGGGTATATTTGCATATGCATATTTCTGCTAAACTCTTAAAACTTCAATCACCTTTCACCAATCTTCGAAATATTTCATGGACCAGAAGATTGTCAGCCGTTGGTCGATTTTTCGGCCTAAACTGCAACATCTTCTCAAGCAAATTAATTGCTCTGGTTTTGTCGCTGAGGAGCAGATGGCTGAGATCACGATTTTGGTTCTTCTTGATGTTCATGTTCCATCCATCTGGATCTTCACCAAATGGATGTTTGCCATTGCTCCATACCGCGTATATCACGAGACCCATCGAATATATATCGGATTTTTTTGAAATCACATCGTCGTTATAGATTTCCGGAGCTCTGTAGCCATCAGTACCAGCACGCATGATACTTTGGGCAGTGAAAGAATGACCTTTGCAGAGCTTCTTCGACAGCCCGAAATCGGATATTTTAAGGGCATTTTTATCAAGCGACATCAAGATGTTATCAGGCTTCAGATCGCGGTGGATGACGCCGTTTCGATGGATAAATTGCAAACCGCAAAACAATTGCTGCGCAAACGATATGGCCAGGCTGTCGTCGAATTGGACGCGTATTTTCGCTCTATTTTTCAGGAAGTCAGTGAGATTTTCCTCGTGACAAAGTTCCATTACAATAAACATTCTTTGAGTGAACGAATGCACGTCATACACATCGGAATGGATAATGGAAACAATATTTGGATGAAAAGCCAGACTCTGAAGAACTTTGGCCTCCTGCAGGTTACGTTTGTTGACATCGAGAAATTTGATCGCCACAGGTCTGGGACCAGTTACCTTGCTCAGCTGCTCTCCACGATAAACATGTCTTCTTCCACACAAAGGCTGATTATGGAATGCTCTGAACACTCCGCCGACATTGATATAATCTAATAAACCGGATCTGGTAATTATGCCGTGATACCAGGCAAGTTATTACTCATCGATCTTGATCGGTAAGTATGTTGACAGGTATTTGTCTGTCTGTTGGATACATGCGATATCTCACGAAATCGAGGTTAAATCTGCTCCAAATTTTGCATGCGCATTTATCATATCTCGGACCAAAAGCTTATTGATTCGATGAAATATGTCGTATAATTAGCGAGGTATTAATTAATTAGTGATGGGACACGCGGTGTCGCTATTGAGTCAAAGCGAATGTGTGAAGTCGGAGTAGATTGTAAATATTTCTCGACGCCACCTCTCATCCCCGAACATCAACTTTCTTATTTTCTACCATGACCATGGCCAGTTATCGACAAGTTTACGGTGACGTAACAATGCTAATTCATAACAGGACCTGTACAGATTTCAGTCATGTTTGTACAAGTTGATTCGTTCTCGTAGTTCTCAGCCGCCATTTTGTTTGAAGGAGAATTCAAGTTATACTCTAATCCAGGGTGGCCAACCTATGGCGCATGCGCCAAACGTGGCGCATTGCATGATTGGAGGTGGCGCATTGCATCTTTAACAGGAAAATAAATGAAGTTCAAATATTGATACTAAAGGCCTGTTGTCACAATATTACGCCTAACTTTACTTCTTAATCGTACCTTTTTCTCTTCGTTGTTAAAAACAGCTTTATTGCGTAATGCTCATAAGACAGAATGCGTTTTTCTCCTACTTTCAGGAAGGCTGTAGTTTTTATTTGAAGCATGGCGTCACAATGATTCCCTGTTTCGTAATCAATGGTAATCTGTTTATCGTAAATTGCTCAAATTTTTGCGTGGATACGAGAATTTTCGTTGAGTTGACTATATATATGAGGCTGTCATTGAAATTTATTCATTCAGTGTTTAATTCAGTGATTCGGTAATTCTCTAAATGAGTGGTTTTCTGTAAACTTAATTGGTAAAGTTTCTTCTTGTGTGTGTAAAGGCGTGTATTAAGGTTGATTTTTGTTTGTAAACATTTGCAGTTGTGTACTTTTCAAGACTTAAGCTTTGCTTTTATATATTTTGTTACCCAACACAGTGCGAAAGAAAATGAACAAAAGAAAGGCGGAAACTGATAGTAAGCGTGAATTTAATGAACAATGGGAAAATGAGTTGTTATTTATTGCAGGTCCGTCAAGAAAACCGTTGTGCATTGTTTGTGAAAAAACTCTTTCAAAAATAGAACTCCAAGAATAAAAAAACTGGCGAAAGTAAAACAGCAGCAAAAGTCTCATAAAGGCGGTACTTAAATAAAATTGATCAGTTTTATTTATTATACTTCCTTGCTTAATTTCTATTCATGTGAAGTTGTAAATTGTAAAAACTACATATACGTGTGTTTATATGTGTGTGTATTATAAATTTATATAATTTCAACAAGAAGCGGACATTAGGCGTGGGAATACAAGATATTTACGGCGCATCTGAAACATTATGTTTAAAACGTGGCGCATGGTATGTGAAAGGTTGGCCACCCCTGCTCTAATCATCTCCCGGAAAATACCGCGAAAGACTTTGCTGATCAATTCAGCTGCGAGTATTTGTTGTTTGCAGCAATTTGAGAATTTTTAAACAAAATTGTATTGGGAGCTGCAGACAAACTTGTACACGCCAATTCGCAAAAATATTTATACTACAAAGGCTTGCATCCGAAATGCGCTATAGCAAAGTAAAGGAAGGGTATATATATATATATATAGTTAATGGTCGGGAAAACATCTATTTGCACTATTCTAACGTCATGGTAAGTAGCCGGCAGTTAGGTTGCATAAAAGTTCATTTCTTCCGATATTTACTGTTTATTTTTTGTTTTGTATAACTTGGGCATGTAAGAGAAAATCGCGGTTCGGTGTATTTCATATTACAATATTGTGCCATACTATTCTGCTGCGATATCGCGTGTCAAATAGACAAATACTCTCACTTTTATGATTAATTCTAGCTTCTATGTAAAAAACGTGATAATGTTTTCTAAGTCTGTTTATGTAATGATTGTAAAAATACTGGCATATTTTTGCATAATACGATTTTAACTCATCCAAAATTTGTTATGTACTACTGCGTCCCGACTATAGGTTGGGGTGCGTATTTGTTCTACACATTTTGTTTTATCTAAATTAATCAAAACAACAGCATACCCAGGCTGATTAACTGTTGTATTTTTAACTACATAAATCTGTTTGGTATAATAGCATGTATTGTATTTCGAGTCTAATGTTGATTTTAGGAAAATACTGTTGTGATATTTGTGCTAATTCAATTTAAATTTAGCCAATTTTAAAGTCTGAAATTTTTTAATTTCTACAAAACAATGAAATTGCGTTTTAAATGACTAAAACAGCAAACTAGTAAACTGAATGCTTTTTGCTGCAAGTATTTACAGTTTCGTACCAGGGGATTGGGGAGGCATTTCATAACTGAAAAATTTGACCTTGACCGTGTTTTCTGCTATTTAATGACGTCATACATCAAAATTTTCGTAAAATGCAAAATTGAACACATAGTACTCTCATCACAAAGGGATGTTTAATAATAACTTGAGTAGGAATTAAGTCAAAAAAAGTCAAACCTGTAATAAAACTCATGGTACCAGAAAAAGCGATGTCATAAGTAATGAAGGGCATGACCCTGTTAGTACGCTAGTGTTTACGCACTTCTCTACCACGAAATATCAGCTTCGTATTAAGAACGCTCTTAACCGGATGTAATAACTAGAATTACTATACCTTTGTTAGAATCACTGTTTATGTACCCACGAAGAAGAGCTCGAATCCTTGGAACTGTTGCCGCAGAACCTAAATTTACCATAAGTCAAATTATTATGTAACTTTTTTTATACGACTCTTATCAAAGGCTCGATACAAGCAGCCACTGATATCTAGCGATACATATAAACATATAAAAGAACCGGAATCTTGAATGTCCTAAATTTGAATACTTGAACTATATCTAAGTTCGTATTTCAATTTTTAGATACATGCTTACACATTTCGGACCTTTTAAAATACAAGGAAGTAGAAAAAGGAGCGTTTAGCGAATTGCTTTTACTGAAGAATATATATGAAGTTTATCTAGATAGAATGGTTATTAGAGTCGCGACAGTCTGTGTGCTGCATCATTTATGTGGCCAATATTCAACAATAGTGTCATACGGATTCAGGGAATCCAAAATGACTCCACAAAAGACATTTCACGTTCATGTAAAAAAAATTATGATGTGAATAAAATTTTCAATTGCGTGAAATGAGAAAGTTTAGTTAGAGAAAGAAACGTACACTAATCACTAAGTAGATTGGGTGGTTTTATGTGGAAAATAAAACACTTAAAAAGAATAAACGGATTATGTAAACGTCGTGGAACCAAAAAACGAAAGGTCATAATATCCGTTACTGATCGCAAGAGGTCGGGGTACATGGCCTACTAACTGATGAATAAAATTACCAGTATTTGAAATAAACGAGTATATGTTAAAAAAATATCCAAAAAGACCATTTTCATTCAATAAATGCATTGTGATGATAAAAACTAATCAAGTATTCAAATTATTATAATCTGTTTTTCACAAGATTAAATGGGTAGAATTTTTCAAATATAAACAATTATTCTGCGATATTTGAAAATTTAAACGCACAAAAGAGAACATGTATTGGACAAGAATTCTTAACCTGATGTGGAATTGAACAAATATCAGTTTCATAAAGTTTTGAATGTCCCTAGACCTCAGCCTACTTTGCCTTTATATATTTACCTACTTTAATAAATAAAAACCTCCTTAGGTAAATTCAGCCATGCTTATTATGTTTAATTGAAAATGTAATGTTTTTTTTAATTTTACCGGGTTCAAAACCTTGAAGGCTATTTTAAACCATCTGACAAGATCTATCATTCGGCACAAAATCTTATTAAATAATATAATATGCTTGTTATCGAAATAATAAAATGCAGGAAGAAACTTGACCGGCATTTTGTTTCCACTTCATCAGCATTTGAATTTTTTGCTCTTCAACCGATTCTCTATTGTCTGCAACAATATCATCAATTTCGTGTTGGTCCAAACACAGCCCAGCGCTGGAGCGAGCGAATCTTTTAAAATTGTCGATTTTACGGAAAGCCTTGACGATCTCTTCCTGGAATACGTCCTCGAAGCGTTCTGAATACAAAGGTATGTTTTATTTTATTTTTCTATTCATATTGTCGATAGTTTTGATATTGAATCATATTTATAGCACAGTTTTATTTATAGCACAGTTAACTTATGAGGAAAAGTTTCACACTTTTAGTTAAGTTTGACTCATACCGGGAGGGAATAGAAACAGAGAAATTTTAGTATACATTACAATGGTTAGCAAAATTAAATTGAAGTAATGATATTTATAAAAATTGAACTGATACAGGTTAAATTGAATGAACTAAAACAATATCAAGTGAACTGAACTAAAGATATGCAATAAAAACAAATTATACTGGTTGTCGCCATACCTGACGGATATTTTCTTGTCATGTTAGTTTTTGTCAATATAATCCTATTCAGCATCCAAGTATTAACAAAGTTAGTAACAAACTAAGTAACAGCTGACAAAATTTAGGTCTGAGAACCCAACAGACAATTAGCATTATATATATCACGGAGCGACCTCTCTTTAAATGACTAGGGAATTATCTATATCAGGGGTGTCAAACTCGCGGCCCGCGGGCCGCATGCGGCCCCAGAGAACTTCCAATACGGCCCTCGAACGCTTAACAATAATTGTAATATTTTTATACATTTTTTTCTAAATATTTATATATATATTACATTTTTCAAAGTGAAATTGATGCCACGTATTGGTAGGAAATGTCGCGAAATGTGGTGGGAAATGTCTGGTCCGAAAAGTCAGTCATTTGCTTGTTTACTGATCTATACATGAAATGATAAACGTAATATTTTTGCTTTACTGAAATTAATCAAACATTCTCAACGATCCAGAGTAACCGATGATCAGGTGACCTCGTTGATTAGAGTTGCTACTGTAAAATCATTTCAGCCTGATATTAGTAAGCTGGTGGCACAAAAGAGATGCCAAACGTCGGACATGTGTAATAAACACTGAGTTTATTCTTTAGTTAATATTTTTGTAAATTTAAGTTTATATATTTAGAATAAGTCATTTTTAGTGTAGGTATTATTCTTTCTTTATCAAAACTTTGTTCAAAAATGATTTGGATAGTTGTACATAAAAATTTATGATTTTATGTAATAAATACAGTAAATTGAAGTAATAGTGAAATGGCAAAATTATTATGTAAATGGGATTTAAAATTCAAAAAAATAACAAAACTTTATTCGGCTGTTTAATTGCATCACAATATATGTCACAAACTACACCTGTCTAAAAATATACTCCAAGTATACATTATTAAATATTTACCAGAAAATGTTTGCGGCCCTTTGAACAATTCCAAAAATGCAATGCGGCCCACGAGAACCCACGAGTTTGACACCCCTCTTCTATATGAACATAAAACTTTGTTACGAGATCTCACTTGCATAACATGATCTCAATCTCATAGAATTCAGTTACTAACCCTATTGTCGTCATGGTTAAGTCAATACTAAATCACTAGAATCAGATATTAAAGTGGCACCAAATAAATTTTACACAAGATGCCAGTAACTGGTCTTTTCAATTACCAATTTTTCATGTAACCATGACTCCTTACGGCCTATGCATTTAATATCATTACGTGGTTTACAATATTGATCCTACGATTTGTTAATGAACGAGCGCCCATGGTTTTGCAGTTTGGTAGGCTTACCTCGAAATATTCGAATAAAATTTTTTTTATTAATAAATGAAAAGAAAATGGCGGTCTCCAATATTTATCAGCGATGTGTATCTGTTATAAATTGTTTTACGGTTTTTTAATTTTAAGTTCCACGTATAACATGTACAATGTCGTTGTAATTTGAATAATAAACATTTCACCTCTAGGTTTGCTACGGTGTTTTGCAACGGTGTCTTAAGTAGTCTTTTAATGTTTAGGTGAGGGACATAACCGAGATGGAACAAAAAATAGGGCCAGCATTGACATCTTTTTTATGCATTCAACAGAATTGTATATATTTGCTTGATGGCTCATTGAAATTTTAGTGAATAGTAATTATTTCGTCAAACTTTTATCAGTCGACCAGTATCTCCGTGCTCTTCCAAACTGAAAAATATTTTTCATCGGTGGAAATGTCAAATTGAAACAATGACAAAGACGGTCGGTTTGTTGACTGTTTTATCTATATCTGTGATGATTGAAATACCATTAACTGAAAACTTCAGACAGTGTTCTATGACAGTCGATTAGCTATTACTCTCGGTCCTCAGCACATATTAAGCATTGGAAAATGAACATTCGGACGTACGAGGCCCACAGTAAGTTTTTGCGTGAAATTGGTCATTTTTGAGCGGACGATATATCTACATATATCATGCTTGATCTCGTCATTTCAATTTATTTATTTTAAGTAAGATCTATGGACGTCAGATATTTTCAGGACCCAAAATTAATCCTTTGTTCACTGCTATAAATTATATCTTTACGATATATAACCTGTTTGCACAATGGCTAGTCACACACTATTAGCTATACAGAACTCAATATTTATGGCCTTACATCTTGAAATTTACTTCACGAGGTGTGCTAAAATATGGGTCCCAAATAACTACGTTTTATATATGTATACGAGCATCGGTGAATCTAAAAGATTGTTGTTCATTTTTGTTTTAGACTTTCCTGCCAACACAAAACATGTAGTTATTTATTCAATTTTTATAAATTTAATGAGTTTGACATGGATGAGTTTATTATTTTATTAATATTATGCAACTACTATTCGCTAACAGTCTGACGTCGTGGTTAAGAAACTGAAAAACCTAAATCTGAGAACTTAAATTCTTCCTTACTTGGCCAAATATTGAAATTTGATGTTCATGGTGTAAAAATTTCAATCAAATGGAATACTGAATTTTCAAAAAATTTCTAACATCACTCAAAGGCGAGATCTTATATACAGTAATTATATATTCTTTAACGACCTAGGAAAATAAGATTAACTCGAATTTCTTTCAAACCGTATTTTTATATTAATTCTAAAACTAGAATATCGGTTAGAAACCGAAGACTTATCGATCGAAGGTTACGGGATCCCCCAAAACAGTGGTCTTACTTCATAGTGACACCGAGTGTCACATCACTAATTAATTAATAACTCGCTAATTATAAGACATAATCCATCCAAAATCACTAGGCTTCTGATCCGAGCTATGACGAATGCACATGCAAAATTTGAAGCAGATTCAACCTCGCTTCCGTGAGATATCCCGTGCATCTAACACACAGACATACACACATACAAATACCTATCAACATACTTACCGATCTTAAGATCGATAAGTAACTAGCTAAGCAAACAATACATGGGGATATTAAAATGATTCACATTTTAGAAAACTAAATCCCGAGATGGTTCAACAATGGAATCGCGCCGATCTCAAATGTTTTCTGATAATACGACCACAGTAAGTCAAGCGAGCAGCAATAAAGAAATGGTTTTCAGATCAGGATTTGTACCTACTTTATAAAAACGGTTACATAAGCTGACAGAATGCTTAATTACATTATTTTCTCTCTTCCGCCGACCTTGTACAAATTTCTAAAAATGGATTTCATTGCAACTGCGATAATCTGTTCGTTAAGTTATATACGGCCAACACAATATGCATATACAGCCAATCAAGTGATGTACATACAAAATTCTCGTGCACATACAGTCTACTCAATATACATAAATATTCATCTTAAAGTTTAATAGAGTTTTCTTTTTTTCTTTTCCAAGTAATCATTTGTCTGTGGGTAATCAATTGGCGGCGATATGTCAAAAAGAAAACATCTGAAAATTCGAAGTTAAATGTTTGCTATGCTCGTCTATAAATAAAAATGAGTTCATATTTACTTAAAGAATAAACTAGAAAATGTGGGAATAAGGCGTCAAAAATACTGAACTGTTATATTCCAGTCGACCTCATTCTAATTTTGTCTCACACGAGGCGCCAAATAGTTCACATTTGGGCGGACGATAAATTTACATACAACATAACATGGTTATGCTTGATCCTGTAATTCAAATTTCTTGAGCTTCAGATATTTTTAGGACATAAAATTTATTTTTCATTCACTGCTATAAAGTGTATCTATACGATTTAATCAATGTTTATGCGATGGGTACCACGGTTCATACATACACTATAGAAAGGACGATATTTATGGTTTCAAATTTAAAAAATATTTCTCACGCGTTTGCATTTTTGTACTCACATACTTGCAAATATGGAAACTATATTCAAACTATTCTGCCAACACAAACGTTGCAATAATCACGTTTATATTGCTAATTGCTTTCAATGAGTTAGTCTGGTAATGGCTAGCTCATTTTCTCAACAATATTCAATAATAATAGCCATATACTTCGAATAGTTGAATCGGAAGTCTGTCTAATGTTGCAGTTTCCAAAACAATTCTACCTAAAATATGACATCAGGAATTGAATACTGAAACCATTTAAATAATAAAATTTGGTGCTAACGAAGAAAGGGTATCAATTTATTGGAACATACAAATTATACCTTATTTCAAACTAAAGAATATTTTCACCACCCCTCACAGGTGAGAGGAAAGATACTATATGTTTTAACAACCAAGGTAGATAAGAATGAAGACTTTCAAATTTCTTTCAAACGGTATAGTATATCTTATTAGTTATTACTTTGAAAATACACCGAAGCAAACTGAATAATCAAGGCATCGAGATATCACAAAATCCTACTTATGAGCAACCCAGGGTCCCATATAATTGAATCATGGAATTGTGCCGATCTCAAATGTTTCTAATAACACAGCCCATAATTGTGAATCAGGACGAGAGGAACAAAATATATGTTTTTTAAGCTATTTCAAGTTTCTCTATTTTATGAAAAAAATTACGAAAGCTTGGTCAGTTTACTTCACCTCTTTCTTTGACCAGGTTCAAACCGCGCCCAATGTCAGAAATTGGGTTTGCTGAGTGCTGACCTATTAACTTTATATTAAAACGAGATAAATTCTTTTGAATATTGCAATTTTAGGTGAAGATTTTAGGCTTGAATTATTTAATTTTTTTGAGTAATATTATAGGAGAGACATGTTAAAATATTATGTATCTAAACATCTGCGTATGTGTGTTGTTTGTTATGTCTATTTTATATATAAGAAATAATAGGTCCTCAACCACGTAAATCAGGGGTGTGCAACCTTAATTACAGCAGGGCCAGATACAAGTAACTGGGTGAAGTCGCGGGCCGCACCGACTTCAAACGAATCCAATGAGAAACACGCTTCTAGGACATTGTGTATTTTCCAACAGGTTTTTGCTATCTATTTATGCTAATAAGTGTTTTTTTTTTCTTGAAAATCAAGCATGTTTGGGCGATATAGAACAATTTAGATTAATTCCAGTTTAGGTCAGAGCACTGGGATTCAGATGTTTACTCTGACACTAAAATACTTTTTAAACAGCGCGAACC